GATGAATTTCCATATCTAAAGCCAGACAGTAGGACATTTGAGTAATTCTGTAGAAGCTGAATAGGAGGTTAGGTGAGATAGCAGAATAAGATTTGGGTTTTCCTCAGTCCAGCAGTGAGAGACTTTGCAGAAACAGCCCTTTTGTTTTTATTGATCAGCCAGTTGTTAAGTCACTTTTGACTTCAGAGGAATTTCTCACCCTGGTGCAGTGCTTGCTTGTTCACCCCCTGCAGGATGGGGGACACAGGACAGCCTGCTGCACCCTGGGGTCACGCCCTGCGGGATGGGGAACACAGGTCAGCCTGCTGTGCCCCGGGGGTCACCCCCTGCGGGATGGGGGACACAGGACAGCCTGCTGGGCCCCGGGGTCACCCCCTGCTGGATGAACTCCACTGCAGTGGCTGCTGAGGTGGCAGCTGGGCTGGCAGCTCTGGGCTTCTCTGAGGGAAAAGGGCCCTTTTGGGGGTCATTTGAGCTAGGCCTGCAACAGCTTTTGTTTCCACAGTCCCAAGCTGACAGGGTGCTGGGGGCGGCCATCAGTGGCTTCCTCTATCTCGTGACCTTCTCCGCTCCCGGTGCCTGTGCTGGGCTGGCGGCCCGTCTCCCTCGGTGGCTTGTCGCCCTGGTCTGCTTCTGCCTGACGTCCCTGAAGGCCCCTGACAGGAGCCCCCGCGCCTCCCCTGTGTCCTCTCCCTCAGGAGGACCCAGGACGGTGCCTGAGTGCTCCGGCCGCCTCCCAGTGTCCCCCAGCAGCTGGCACCCCGGGTCCATGTGCTGACGCGTCCCTGGGTTACCCTGACCCTCGGTCCCCAGTAGAGGAAACTTGCGCGGTGCCGTGATTCCTGCTCCCTGCGGGAAGTTTATCAGGTGGCAGTTTATCACGTGCAGGAAGTTTGTCAGCAGGAGGCACCCAGCACATAATCTAACTTGTTTCTCCCCAGAGGGCATCCTGGAAGCTGCTTCCTAATTTCACTAAATTCCCCTGCTGGTTCCTAAGCAATATTTTCCCTAGTAGGTCCCGTCACCTGTGACCCCCAACTCCGAAGTACCGTCATATATGGAGGCGTGGATCAGGCAGTGACTTTCAGAATATCAGGAGCTGCACCCCTGAAAGATATCCTGTGGAAACAAGGGAAGAATAAAGTCATCGAATGGGACGAGGCCTCTCTCCTGGAGCCCAGAGCTTTCCCGCCTTTTCTAGACAGGGCTGCTTTAAACACTACGTCCGGTGACCTGACCATCTACAATTTGACATCGTCAGACGAAGGTGACTATGAAGTCGAGTACAACAGCATTAAGGGAGACACCAAGTTCGAGCTTCTAGTGCTTGGTGAGTGTGCAATGACGCGGTTGCCTCACTCCCTGCGCCCACCCACGGAGACGCACAAGGTGGAGCCGGGCGCGGCTCACACGCGGCTGTGCCTCTCCCGGAGGCC